TAATTATTCTTTAAAATTTTGGCATGTTATTTATTTGTATCTATACTTATTATATAAGGTATCCTATTTACCAAATTTAGTAGATTGAAAAGTCAATGTAATTAATGCATTTCTATTTCTATCCAAATTTTATTTAATTATTTTATTTTATTTGTCTTATATCCCATAAAATCAGTTTAAGAAAAAAAAATCCCATAATATCTGACAAAAAAAAGATGTAAATTCTTTACTAATATAAAAAGACTTTATTTATTTGTCTTATTCCATATTAACATTGATTTTTGTCAAATAAATCTCATAAAATCAGTGAAGTCAAAATTTGTACGTAAAGTCTATCTATAAAAAAAAGTCAAATTCAGAATTCCTTATCTAATTCCTTCTTTTTCTTATCTAATTCCTTATTTTCCTTATCTAATTTTTTTTATTATCTAATTGTATGAAAATCTGTTCTGATTTTGTTCAATCTTCTAATTGTATTTGTATTATATTCCATAAAATCGGTTTAACAAAAAAAATCACATAACATCCGATAAGTAAAAAAACAAAGTACGTAAAATATTTACTAAAATAAAAAAACTTTATTTATTATCTAATTTATTATCAATTGTATAGAAATCTGTTCCGATTTTATGGTACGTACTACAAATTGTGCACCCGTATTCAGGAGCTACTTAACGGGCAAGCTCTGTAGAAATGACTCATTTAGTGCTTCTGTCTCGTGCATACCGTATATATTTTATTACACATACTAGAAAATTGTGCACCCATGCATCGCACGGGCTGTACTAATAAATGACCTTAAAATTGTGCAAAAAAAATCCCATAACATCCGATAAGTAAAAAAACAAAGTACGTAAAATCTTTACTAAAATAAAAAAGCTTTATTTATTATTTAATTTATTATCAATTGTATGGAAATTTGTTCTGATTTTATGGTACGTACTACAAATTGTGCACCCGTGTTCAGGAGCTACTTAACAGGCAAGCTCTGTGGAAATGACTCATTTAGTGTTTCTGTCCCGTGCATACCGTATGTATTTTTATTACACATACTAGAAAATTGTGCACCCGTGCATCGCACGAGCTCTGTACTAATAAATGACCTTAAAATTGTGCACCCCGTGCATGACCCATGTTCACATCTTGGCATATATTACAGGTCACGTACTATATATATCTCGTATATTTTTTTTATTCATTTATACAATTATAAGAATGGATAAATGACCTTAAAATTGTGCACCTCGTGCATCGCACGAGTTATGTACTAGTAATAATTAAAAAAAAAAAACAAAACCAAAAGGCCATCCGCCCCAGCCCCTCTCAATCTCACTTCTCTCCTCTTCAATTCTCTCTCTCCCTCTTACATTGAAAAAAAAATCAAAATAAAAAATCAAACAACATAAAATCGAAGAAAAAATCGAAAAAATGGTGAGAGGACAACATCGACATGGCAAGGAGCACGCGATTCCACCGGTAATTTTTACAATTTTTTTTATTATTTTTTTTTTTAAAATGTGTCGGCCGCCTATTTCGACCGGTTTCCTAGGTGCCAGGCCGCGATTGCGACCCGCCTTCGCTCAGCGGGCCACGAAATGCGGCCGGTTTTTTATTTATTGTGCCGCCGCGATTTCATTGTGCCAGGCCCGATTGCGGCCGGTATACCTGCAGCGGGCCGCGGAATGCGACCCGTAATTTTTTTTTTGTGAGCCGTGCCGCCGATCGCGGCGGCATTCGAAGGTGCCAGGCCGTGATTGAGGCCAGTCTACGCACATTCGGCTGCCGATTGCGGCCCTATTTTTTTTTAAATAAAATAAATTTGGAATAGAATATATTATAATTACTTAATATATATTTTAAATATAAATTTATTTACAAAATTACATATATTAAATATATTAATATATATTTATTTTGTGTTAAAAATATAATATATATTAGTATATATTTTTCGTATATATATTGTTTTAAAAATATATTAATATATATAAATATATTAATATATTTATAAATATTAATATATTAAAATAAATTTTTCGTATAAATTTTTCGTTTTTTTAATTTATTTTTCGAATTTTTGTATATATTTTATATCTATAAATATATTAATATATTAATATATTTATATATAATTTTAAAAATATAGTATATATTAATAGATAATTATATTAATATATAATTAGGTAAATATATTAATATATTTATAAATTTTTTTAAAAAAATATTATAACTTTATATATAATATATTAAATTAAAATATTTTTATTATTAAAATAAAAACATATTAGAAATATATTTTTCTAATATTTAATAAGTATTATAAATATATTAGTAATGAAAATATATTAATAAGTAAAAAATATATTAATAGATAGTTAAAATAAATTAACAAAATTATATGTATATTTGATATTAATAAATATTAATAACTAAATATATTAATTTATTTTAAAACAACTAATTAAAAGTTTATTGATTTAGGCTGAGATTGATGATTTTGGACCCCGACACCCTCATAGTCGTGGTGTTAGTGCTTCTGTTCGGCGGGAGATGGATCTGAGGCGCGATGAGTTTCTCCAGAGACAGGTTGCCGATGCACAGGCTGCGCAGGCTGCCCCGGCTGGCAGTTTGACACCATTCGTTCCTCCGGTAGAGAGCGGTCAGCAGTCCGTCTCACTGGTGCGTGGCAGTTCAGGACGTATGGGGACGATTCGAATTGTTCAGCGTCGGAGCTCCACTTATGAATCGGCAGTCATGAGTAGTCTGGTGGCTTGTGATGATGATGATGATGATGATGATGATGATGATGATGATGATGATGATGAGCAAATGTTTGACTCGAACTCTGCTGCAGCTGAGCATCTACAGCAGCCACCACAGCCATAGCCGCAGCCACCACAGCCATAGCCGCAGCCACAGCCACATCCACGTCCAGGAAAACAACTCCGCCGACCTGCCCATCCATCCTCAGGTAAATGATTTGCGTATTTATCATTGTTTTGACAATTTTTTTACATGTGTTTTTTCAATGTGTGATATATTCACTTCCTTAAAAAAGTATTATTGTATAAATTGGACTATATAGGGCAAAATAGTCTATTTAAATTATTAGAAAATAGATAAGCAAATTAATGTATAATATTTTTATTTATATTTAATTTTGTAAATAAAAAATAAAAAAAATAAAAATAAAATGTGATTAAAAATGAAAATATGGTTGTTTATATTGTATGTATTTTGTAACTTAAATATATATAAAAGATTTAAATATAATAATTAAAATAAAACATTGTAAGTCGTATGTATTATTGAGTTAACATTTACAGAAATGTCATACCCTATAAAATTAATGATAGAAAATATATAAATATATAGTATACATATAAAATAAAAAAAATTATCTTAATTAAACCGGTTCGACCGTTGGTTCGATCAGTACCTTGCAGGGTCGATGACCGGTTCATTTTTTCAGAACCACCATTAGATATTTTTTTATTTGACAATAGCGTGTCATTGATACATTAAATCATAATATGTCGTATATATATTGATTGTTCTATTCTAATACATGTGCGAGTAGCAAACACACAAAGAGTGACGACTGGATCGTCAAAAGGCCAGTGCCCGGTGGCCCTGTTGACGGGAGTGTGATCCCTAGCTTTCTAGGGCACGTAGCCTCTAAGATGTGGGCAGGAGAATTCAGAGGCATGTTGAAATGCCAAAATAGGATGGCAGCGTACAAGATTTTGAAGAGTTGGCTCAACGAGATGAGTCCGGCTGTGCGCGCCCTGATCCTGACACTAGGATGTCACATTTGGCCTTCTGTATGCATACTCACGTCGACACTCCACTTCTCTGTGCATTTGTGGAGCGCTGGCAGCCAGATACGAACTCGTTTCACCTGCCTTTTGGTGAAATGAGTATACTGTTGCACGACGTGAGAGCCATTTTAGGGATTCCTGTGGACGGAGCGGTAGCACCGCGGACCCCGACACTGTCACATCTTAGGCGTACTGCATGGAGCTCTTGGGGGTGGACCAGGATACATTGAGGACCAGATTATGGAGTCACGGTTCAGTGAGCCAAGGCGACATTTTTCATGCATTGATGGGGAAGGCAGGCGAAAA